AACGCCATTTCTCGATCTCTGGCTTACGGCAGACCCTCCGTGGGGCTCCAAGCGCGACAATATCATTCACTTGGTGGGCTTCGAAGCGATGGATTTCCTCGAGAATGCTGGCTTGGCTGATGTCCGTATACTGGACGTCCGGACGAATTGCTGCAAGCCAGAGGATTGGTATGAATGGCTGCATCCTGGAGCGCCCAGATGAGGCACCCAGCGCTAGACGCCGTGCTAGCCGAATGGGCTCTAGCGCTTCTCTGTCTGTTTGTTGCTACTTTACTACTCTGCTTTTTCACCCTCGACCTAAATGAAATACAAACCGAAGGCAGTAATCGTCTTTTACATTTGCAATCGATACCAAATTTGCTCCATCGCTTCGACGCCATCACAATGTCCACTTCGCCGCTCCTGTCGCTGCCTGGCGAAATTCGCAACCGCATCTACGAATACTGCGTCGAACCAAAAGCTATACAACTGCCACGAATGCCCAAACGACCAGAGAAGCCTTACGAACATGTTCGCTTTGGACTGTACGGCGGTTTTCGCAACGTGTGCCGGCAGACACGCGCAGAATTCGGGTCAATGTACATGGCCAAGACGGTCCTTGTCATCCACCAGGTCACCGCGCAAAAGTTCTTCTATTCCTTCTATCCTGGACTGAGGAAACAAAATGAAATTGGAAACGAACCGCTACAGCCGGGCCGCCCGAACGACGAGCTTCCTGTGTCGACTGGCGTTCCTGGCGTGCAAGGCAACATTCGAATTACCACATACTACGGGCTCCGATACGACGCGAGACTACTCGTACGTCTTTCCGCCAAGTACCCCTCCGTCAAGGTTGCTTTCACAGATGCTAGTGCATGCCTTGATCTTGCGTCCTCCGTCGACGACTTCTTCGCCCACATCTCGTCCGGCGCTTTTCGTCCGCACTTGGAGCTTGTGTTTCAAAGGATCGAGATTACCTGCAGCACCGTGCCTGAGATATGTTTCACCTTCTATTCGAGGGAGATAATGGAAGAAGCCATGAAGCGGGTTGGGGAGGTGGACTCACGGCAGGCTTTGATTGAGATGGGTGCGCCGCCCATGGATGCGTTTGCTATACTGTTCACGGATGCTACGAGCGTGTATAAGCACTCCGCACCGCAGGCTTGAGGCAGACATTGTTTTACGCCTAGTGCCCTCGTATTGGCGTCCAATATTCTCCGGGTCGCATATAGGTTGGCAGTTTGTACCGTGTTCCTTGCGAGGTTCCAATTTCGCAAAGGGACGAATACACGTCACACACGCTCTAAACGCTTCATCCATAATACAAATGTTTATACGTTCTATCGTCTATTGTCTATCTAATATTACATCCTTAGTACTATCCTTTAAGCAGCCTTATGCGTCTATCTACATTAGCACTTATACGTTATAGAAAGTAAGCATATAGTTTATTCTCTTCTAGCGTTTAACGTTACTAGAAAAAGATACCTAACGTATAAACTACTGCTTCTCTAGAGTAGGCTAGTATATAGAGAGTATTATCTTTATTAGTAGCTTATATACTATTACCTACTTATTTTAGATAAAGGCTTAGGCTACTAGTATAAGTTCTAAGTAGACGTTAGTAGAACTTACATAAGATATAGTAAGTACTTACCTTATTAAGTATTTATATAGTAAGTATACATCTTTAAGTTACGTAGAAGCTTTATATATATTTTCTAGTAGAAAAGATACTAAAGTACCTATAAGATAGCTAATTACTTAAGAGTAGTATTTCTAGCTAAAGAGGTAGTAGTAATAATATTAAAGAGGATAGTAAAGGTAATTATAGCTGTAGTTAAGTTATTTAAGTTCTAGATAAAAAGAGCAATAAACTAGAAAGTAAGGCGCACTATATTATGTATAAAAGAGAGAGAAGAGTTATAAAGATAAAGCTTCTATACTCTTCTTTAACTTATATAGTATATGCAAAAATTTTAAAATCTAGTTCTATCTTATTCTATAGTACTGCAATAACTTATTAATAATAAGCTACTTATAACTTCTATAACACACATAAGATACATAATAACTAAATCTACCTATTAAATATAGAAGAGATGCGAAAGAGGTCGCAAAGGGACGTGGTTTCTTAGAAGAACTTACCAACTTCCTAAAGCGTCAAGCGCGTTTGCTCGTTGATTACGTATCTCACGTGAAGGTGAAGCCCCGCACCCGTGGACCCCACAGTACATGCAGGTACCCGATAACACGCGCTACATCATTGCTTGGCAGCCGTACCATGGTTCACCTGGTCAGGCGCTTCCCTCTATTCTCACTTCACCACAGACTCTTCTCACAGACAACACGAGCTCGCAGATGGATCATCTACACCTGTACGTTGCCCCTCACACTCTGCCATCCGTGACTAACTTTGACAGCAGCAACTCGGAAATCGACGAGGAGTATCCGCTCATGGCCTCCGTAGAAGCGCAGATGCGGGGTGTTACCATGAGCGCATCAAACAGTCGCTTTCTGAACCTTCCAGGTGGTGTGTACGTCCTTCCAACTACCCAGAACCTAGCTAATACAGTACCTACAGAACTACGCAATAAGATTTACAGCTTCTGCATCGATGCAGACCCTGTCCCACTACGTCTCCGTCACGATGATCCGATCAAACCGGTAGGAGGATGGCGCTGCTTTACACAGACGTGCCGGCAAATCCGAAAAGAGTTCCATATCATCTACATGACCGAGACTGCTTTCCGCCTAGAATCCACTTACCACTACGCCCGATACATCCGCGATTTCTATCCGCCTAGCGACGAGGCCACGATGCTGCGCTACCGTGGACACATCATCAGCGTAGTTGGACACAGCCGCGATGAGGATATGGATGTGGACGAGTTCTACGATGCAGACATCGCGCGCGTAGTCTCGCTTGTCGCGCGCTCCCCGAAGGTTCGCTTCACCTTTGAGCTTCAGAAGGATCTAAAGAAATACTCCATGGCGGCAAAGTGCATCGCACAGGTCAACAGTATGCTCTCGTTATTCGCTAATTCGTCCAACTCAAAGTGGCGCGACATGGGCAAGTCGATCAAAGAAATGAGACTGAGGGTTCACTTTTTCGACTCTGCACTCCGAATCACCATGGAGAAAGACATGGCTAAAAAATGGAAGACTGTGGTCTATGGAATGTGGAACGAAGAAGCTCAGCCCGCGCTTGGCATACGTGAATTGAGGCTCTCATGGCCTGACCCGAACCCGCAGGAGCGTTCATATGGGTATCGGCACAAGTTTTGGTTCAGCGACGATGACGATAAGACCAAAAGTTATATTTGGCATTCGTGAGTAGTATGCAGAGAGGGGAGAGGATGGACGTTACTCACATGCTAGCTTTGGTTGATAGCTGAGACATGCGCCCAGGCAGCCTGATGACGTCTTTGGAATCTCTGGCAAGGTGCTCTGGATTATCACTCAATAGTTCATCTTTCATTATGAAAACGGCTATTTCATGTCGTCCCGGGTGGTCATCATGTTGGGTGCGTCAACACGGAAGTAGACGCACTCGATGCCACGACCTTGCAAAATAGGTAGCGCTTTACAATGTACATCTACCCTCCCGATCTCATGTCCATTTCGACAAATACTTCGTCGGCCGAAGTGGCCAGACATTCTTACAATGCCCCTCTATCGAAGCATGAACATCCAGTCCCTTTCTCTTCGTCCAACCCACACTCTCCGCAAACTTGTCCACAAACCCCTGATCGCGAACCATCACCTCTGGAACAATAACCTCACTCGTAAGTCGCCCAGGTGCCTTCCCGCTCTTAAACACAACCACAACCCTCACTATAGCAACGCCGTAGTCAAGACTCCCTCTTCCAGCATGAATCACAACTTCCGCGACGTCTCCGCTGCCAATGCAAGCCACCCAACGTGCGTCGTCAAAGCCCAATACAGAATCCAGCTGCACCTTCATCATCGTCGGCTGCTTCAGATAGCTATGACAGGGTCTAAACGATATCGACGCTCTTCCAGTCGGATGACTACAATGCCGAATCCGCAGCAAAGGCAGTACATCCAGTCTAAGCCGCTCCACCAACGGATCCTCGATAACCAGATCAATGCGTCTAGGCACGTGCTCTATGGGGCGGGAAGGCCCGTAAACAAAGTCCACGTAGCGGAGCCAGGGTTTTATGCTAATAGTGAGCTCTTGTTGGCGGAGAGCTAGTGGACGGTATTCTTTGCGCATTTGCCGGCATACTTGGCTTGGTTTTATTATGAGGAACCAGGCGGATGTACTGTGGCTCCAGGAACTGTAGAGGACGGGTGATTTGAAGAGCTCGATGGGGTGGTGTTGGGGTAGTAGCACGTATTGGTAGATTTGATTGCGGAGTTCTGGGGTGTGTTAGCTGTGTGACCCAGCACGATTTTGGTGAGGAAGCGTACCAGCTGGCAGCAGTAAGAGCGGCGAGGTTATGCTCTCTACATTTGTGGTCTCAGTAGAGGTCTTTGGTACATGCCGTCGCTTCTTCATCTTCTTGAACATGTGTAGCAGTTGGCCGTGATTACTCTTTGGCGACGGATGATTGGATTCGATGGTATCTGGCATTGCGAGGTTCACTGGGTATCTCTTGATGCCATCTTTCATGGTTACAGGCGACAGATGCTACACAGCAAGCTGAGCCAGAGTGATGACTCCTCGTAGTTCGTATAGCACACCGGCACGAGGCGCAGTTGTGGGGCTAGAGTAAGCGCTGTCCCCAATCGAGCGGACATGCAAGTGCATGGTTAAGCGAATATCCGGCCAGAGACTGTCAGGAGCATCAGAATCATCTTTAAACGACTCTGATCTCATAGAGTTTTTGTTTTTCCAGCGGTGAATGTAAATGGTGAATGCAAACGCTTTTGTAGACTACCTAGGTAGGTGACGTCACAGCAAACGCGAGACCCTGAATGTTTACGGTACGTATTTCGCATCCAAAACAACAACAACAAAAGCTTCCAACACCATCCGCTTAGCGTCTATCACCATGGATCGCTACACGCCCGAGCTCTCGATGCTTCGCCTGAAGCGACGCCGAGACGACGACGTCCTGTCCAGCAGTCGCCTTCCGCGAGCGAAGAAGGTCGCGTATACTCCAACAGGTATTTTCGACTTTATGCGTCTTTCAGCAGGTTAGTACCTACATATAGCGAAATATCGCAAAGCGGAAGACTGACCTCCATCCAGAGCTCCGCAATCAAATCTATGAGTACGCTGTCGCAGAAGTACCCTCTCAGCTACTCACACCAGTCCATGGACCTCGTGATCGCGGCGCCGCAGGCATCGCGTTGACACAAGTCTCCCGCCAAGTAACTTATTATGTGAGATGGATAAGAGACATGTACTGATCTAGCATACCCACGTGTTAGGTACGTTCCGAGTACCGACCAATGTGGCTTGAACGCGCCAAGTTCGTCATCGATTGGCACTCTGTCCACGCATTCCTCGAGAGCTTCTACCCGAACGAAGAAGAGTATGGAAGCGGTCCCAAGAAGCTCATCATTCAGTACGAGACGGCTTTCGACTGCACGCTCGACCGACCAACGGAGATCATCCATCTAGTGCGATTGGGCTTGGCCTTCAAGGGATTGGAAGTACGCATTATCCATTTGGAGGATTGTGCTCCCGCCGGAGTCTCCATCACCAAGCTGGTACAGTATGGTGGTTGTACACGTCTCGGAACTGAAGACACTGCGCTAGTCAAGGAAGCGAAGCGGAAGTGGCGCGTTGCTGTACAGGAGTACGAGGTGAAGAGTGTAGCCATCACTATGCAATATCCGGAAGAAGCCGTGGATGTTAATGTCAAGTTGAGCGAGCAGCTCGCCTCAACGACGGGTACTACCGGTCTTGACGGCCTATGGGACGAGATAATGGTATGATAGGCCCTCCACCAATTTGATGGAGGCACGCCAACCTAGGGATAAACTGAACGCCCTGGAGTCTACATTGACGTTAGATCACCTACTTTGCGGAGTTTTGGTTTGATGTAGTATGCAGACCTGTTCAGGCTTTTTCTTGTATGGGGTGGAGGTGAGAAATGAGGCCTCTGTGCACGGGAAGAAAGAAGTAGAACGTAGCCAGGAAGTCGACATTGCTTCGACTTTGTTGATTCTGATCTGTAGATTAATGTAGCCTACGGTACATTTATTCAATTCTACTTTCCAAGGTCTCGTCCGAGGTGCGCGTGGCAGGTGGGGCCGCGGGCAATGGACGTTTTGGGTTAGCGCGGGATTGGTTGCCTAATTGAACACGAAAGCTCCAGGCACGCCGGTACGCTCGCCGACTCCTACACGCTCCACGTCGATGAAGGTCTCGGATATGTGATAGCAACACCTTCGCCAGTTTATTAATCAGGTTATCGTGTGCTATATCAGCGCTGTTGACGACGCGCTTGCAGCCATGCAACTCCACGATGCTTCCATCACCTCTGGGTCGACCAATGGACACCACTTCCGCTTCTTAGACCTCGCTGCAGGTAGATCATTAGCGCTTCTTTATCTAATGAAGTAGGTTCACTAACTTCACACCTCAGAACTTCGGAACCGCATCTATGAGTACGCTGCCGAGGCACCGCCGCGCAACATCATACCCAAGCCTGGCAACGGACCCACTATCAGTCTCACCCAAGTCTGTCGACAAATTCGCGATGAATTCAGGAAGATCTACATGCAAAACGTGCCCTTCACAGTCAGAGACAAAGACATCAAGGGTTTCACGAACGCGTTCTTTGCGTCGGGTCATACGAACCAGCGAGTACTCGATGGGCAACGCCCTACGCGCGTCATTTATCTCTATCCGCCATCCAGGAATGTGGACATACTACCCCTCTTAAAGCTCAAGATGGCATGCCCGGAAACCGAAGTCACCGTCATCCCCGGTCCTGCAGATCTCGAAGAGCATTTTCATTCCCGGTTTAACTGTGAGCTCATAACGCACATCCTGGAAAATACGTCGCCTGCATTGAGACACGACGTCCAAGCATCCGTAGTCTCTGAATTCTGCTGTCATCACAATAGTAGATTCTACTTGTGGTACAAGCCGGGGCATGTGCCCCATGGTGTGGACATGACATTTGACCGGGAAGGGCAAGCTTTCACGGATCAGATGAGACGGCTCTACGACATGACAAGTTTCGAAGATTTGTTTGGGGTTTATCATGGCGTTGCTTTTGAAGGCATTGATGTGCGCAATTCCAACAATTCGAGCCGGGCGGAAGATGGAGAGAAAGGATAGTCAGAGAGTGATCAGATCGGGCGTTGATATCCCGCGCTAGCTTATGGTTATACATTGTAGCATCATCGTCAAAGACCTCTACAAATTTGAAGTACTTGTATATATGATAACCAAAGCATACAAATTACGTAGCTTGCGGCTTGCTTCGCAAATCATGTATTTGGGCGTATTTCACTCTTAATCACGTGGAGGCACGTGGTTGTGGATCGCACTAGGCGACTACCTAGTTCGCGCAACGCTAACAAGGGCCACTCCTTCGTTGTACCTTCACATCTAATCCACTGCATCATTCCTCTACCACGCTCCCCGCCATACACCCCCGGCACTACTTCAGTCCCCTCCCAAAATGGCCCACGACCCTGTCAGCAGGAGCGACCGCGAAGACCACTTTCGTATCCTGGATCTACCAGCAGGTAGGCGTGACCCTCTTCAGGCAAGTTTTTAGGGCTGACATGTGTGTAATAGAGTTGCGCAATCTTATCTATGACTTCGCTGCTGAGACCGAGGCCGACCAACCTCGCTGCGTACTGCCGTGTCTTGCGCTTGCGCAGAGCTGTCAACAGCTTCGAACCGAGTACCGGCCTGTCTGTATGAAGCGAGAAATTACCATTGATTGGAAGTTGGTGACCGCCTACCTGCGCACTTTCTTTCCGATCGAAAACGGTAAAATCGACAACGTTGAGCTTGCACCAGCCAGCATGACCATAGTCACTCCTTGGCGCGGAGATGCAGAGGGGGAAGACCATTATGAGCTTGATATGCTATTGCTAGTCAAAATTGGCCTCTGTCGACCAGACTTCACCTGTCACCTCGTCCACGATACGGCTAAGCTGCAGCTTCACGACGAGCACGAGGAGAAACATCGAGAGGGATATAGCTTCAGAGGCTGGATCGATGAAGACGCAACAGCCGTAGAGAGGATGATGTTTAATCGGCATCCACGGTGGCTATCCGATATAGAGACCGGTAGTATCACCAGAATCATGGTTTCCAATATCGGCGTTAGCACTTCGCCCCAGGCAGCGTTCTACCTTAAATCTCGGCAATTGGTCGAGGACCTGGACGCTGAGGATGAGGATGAGGAATTTGAAGGAAACACATTGGGGGAAGCTTATTTCAACAGAATTGGCGTTGATCCATATTGGGGAGAGTTTCCGGAGTTTCCTGGCCTAAGGATTGAGGCATGAAAGATTTGGAGATGACAGCTTACTGAGGCGGTCTGGTATCGAGTAGGACTGCAAAGATGGACATCATCATAGTTACTTCTACGCAGATGTTAGGGTCTTCTGTTCCATAACATCTCAAAGCGTACAAGCTTAGTCTTCCGCAATTTACTCTTGTCTAGTCAAATCACGCACACACCTCGGACCAAGTGGAGGCTAAACAGGGTGACGGGTGCGGTGTGATTTATAGTACTGCAAGAATCCTAGTTTCCCGAGCCCTTAAGCAGTCTAGAGTGAGAGGTTCATTCTTTTTACCTGTCATTATCTGCAACACGTACTCAACAATCTTTCCCCTCGTTGGCGTGCACACGCCACGCATGAAGAGACTTTCAATGTGGTTTGCTCTCACCACGGACCATCACGCTGATGACTGTCTACAACTTGCCGACTCTCTTTCTCTCTAATCCCACAACTCATCTGCTAGATAAATTGCGAAGCCTACTAAGAGCCTTGTGTCAATCTTTACAACCTTGTCGCTAGTTAACATGAGAACGAGACGCTCACTCCCCGAGCCCTTCCGCTTCCTCGCCCTGCCTGCAGGTGTGTTGGCTAGACCGCAAAGCCTGTCGCATTAACACTGACGTCATAACAGAACTCCGCAACTCCGTCTATGAGTTCTTGACTGCCGAATACGAGGGCCGCGTCCGGCGCTTCACTGCGAATCCATTCTCCCTCGGCGCAGGCTCTCCTCCCGCTACGATCTTCTCACTTGCACACGTGTGTCAAAAGCTGCGCAAAGAGTTTCTCTCGCACCTCTTTCCCACGGTCGAGTTCGGTCTAGACTGGCTGGACGTCGAGCACTTCTGCCACACGGTGTGTTGGACGTTCAGTGGCGGCGAGTCTCTATCCATGCGCACGCCGAGGTCAATCACCGTATATATCGACGAGACCATCTGCAATGAGCCTTCCATGTCGAAGCCTAGATCCAGGGATACTCCCTGGAACCACTCTGAGATCGCTGCTTACAGAGCGGGCGTATTGCAAGGCATCATCCACGTGCCCCGAGTGCCCCGAGTGCCACATTCGTCGCTCAACCTACTTCCGCTACTAGAACTACGGCTTCTGCGAAACGATTTCATCTGCTTGTTCACACTGGATCCGAGGGTCGATTGGGATGCTGTGAAAGAGAAGCATAACAGCGAGGCTACTCTAACTGACGAGCGTGTCGCTGCAACCGTCCAGGACCTCGCGCAATTCATGGTCTTCGACAGCGAGCCTTGGACGCAGTGTATAGAAGGAAAGCTGAATGAAGTCTTGCTTCACCCATGGGCACACTGGACAGATCTCCAAATCGAGCTGGTGTTCAAGGAGCAACCGAACGAACTCATGACTTTAGACAGCAAGACACGGCGATGCTACCTGCCCGATCTGCGGAGGGCTGGCTTACGGGAATTTTACGCGACAACAGGACTGACATTCAACATGCGCATGGCTTCTTCCTCTCCCAAGCCTGACTGGGAAGAAGGCTCTCTGTCGCGTTTGACGATACTCGCTTCCCCTACCGGCTGCCCGCCGACCCACCACCAAACCCAAAAGTAACCATCTTCCTCAAAACCACCATCTCAAAACTCGTCTCGCAGCTCCAAGTCCCCGGTCCCCACGTCTTCTTCCTTACCACCTCATACCCTCTCTTACGCCAATACGCGCCGTTGAGACACTCCGCGGCCAGAATCCAAAGGCTCAACACGCGTTGGCCCTGCAATCCCTTTTGCTCGAGCTGGATGGTCTCTCTCACGATGAGATACTGCTGTAAGAAGTCGAGGAGTTGGACTGCTAGACCGCGGTGGTGGTACTTTGGGTCTCCGTCAACACACACGATTTTGATTTCCCAGCCTGTTTCTGTGGAGGCGCATTCTTTTTCCCAGCCGCCTTTCCAGGGTACGAGGGAGGCGCATGCGACGACCTTTCTGCTCTGTTCGCCATTGATGCTTGTGTCTTCCCCATTGATTCTATCGTTATCGCCATCGATGCTACCGTTCCCGTTCGCGCTCGCTGCGTCATCGAAGATCAATGCGATAACGCTGCCCTCCCCAGTCAGCAGCGTATGAAGCCCCTCTTCATCGCTGAAGCGCGATTCCGAATTATCCCATTTCGCCGTATCTCGTTCATACGAACGATAGAACGCGACGTTAACGAGTTGCGTGATGGACTTCGATAAGCTTGGATTGGATCTCAGTTCCGATGGCGTGAAAAGCGTTGGTGGGGAAAGTTTTGTCGTCATCATGCGGGTGGAATGAACCTTTTGATTACTTTTGACCGGTTTAGAGATTCGAGCTTTGGCTCAGAAATCTTTTTCATTTTGGAGAACACCATTGAGTCATTCGGTAGGGCGTGGATGTTGAAAGTGTTCCCCGGGCCGTGTGCAAGATTCCAGGTGCCCGCCTCATCGGAATCGGAATGGCTGGGTCATTAATTCCGAACAAAAAATAGCGAGGATGCACCTTCTTCTTTCGGCTAATATGTGATGGGTCTAGAATCTTCATTAGAACTTCCTCCCTTGCTATACATCATTTTACTTCTTTTTTTTTTCCTGACGTACGATGAAATTTGACGTAAACGACATGGTTCGGTTGCATGCCGAAGTTGCAGGGTGATGGTGTAAGTCGTCATCATCGGAGCGTCATCCGCAAGCTCATCAAGATCGGTAGGAACGAGCGCCGCAACATCAAATCTGTTAGTCGAAGACGGCGGTCGCAGTGTACACGAAGCTTTGTAAGGGTATAAATATATTGATGCATAGATGGTATGCTTCTATAGTAGCGCCAGAGAGCGGACATGGTATCATAAAGCGACATTACAGCGACGCTGCAAGTACAAGGAAAGACGAGGAAATTTTTGCGCGATCTACGCGATGCTTCATGTCGTGCGTGGGTATAGGTCGACATAAGTATCCGAACGTTAGCATGCGCGGCACGCTTCAGGACCACGACTGCCAACTTGGCTTCTTCTGACTTGAACCACGTGGGGGATATGGCGACTCCCGCGCGGTTGGTGGTGGGGGCATTGGTGTGGGACTTCTCTCCCTCCTGGTTTCCTGACTTATTGCGGTGCCAGGTAAGGGTGTTATGGGTAGCTTCTTCTCTGTGGGTGAGAGAGTATGCGATGACAGGGGAGCAATGCTAGCTGGCGACGTTTGTGATGCGGGAGATGTGGGTAGTGGCGGAAGTGCCTCCAAGTCGTGTCCTTCGTAGAGGTGAGTCGATCGCATGCTGGATGCTCGCGAGTTATGACCTGTGGTGTAACGCCCAAGCTCAATGTCCTCGTAATCGCGGTCGCAGATCATGTCGGCTGTCATAGTTGACACAGGGCGGTCAATGCCAGTGGGTGTCGGCATTGCCGAGCTGGTTGGCGACATGGTCACTTGCACCTCTTTGTGCACATGCACACCTCCATGCGGGTCGACAGTGGTACCAAGGTGAGAATCGTAATATCCCTTGGTGCTGTTGGCCCAGCTTCCGCCTGTAATGCTCGCACCGAACTTCCTCCACGAGTTCTTCGACTTGGTGTGCGCACTATCCTGGCGATCATCGGTACCAGCTGGTGTTCTCGTCTTGGATCGCTGACTGAGCTTTTCCTGGAAGAAATGTTTGAAGAAGACCTTCATGGCGGGCGCATTGGCGCATAAGCATCCGATGTACAGCTCGAGCATGCAAGTAAGAAACAGATTCCATGTGTGCCATGTCACGTCGTAAGTGCCATAGAAGGTGTACCAGCTGTAGTAGGCTCGCACAGCTCCCAGTGCGACGACACCGTAACCCATGGCAAAGATACCGAACAACGCCAGCTTCTGTCGGATCGGTATCTGGAGATTCCAGTAGAGGAATGTAGGAAGAACGGCAGTCAGGGCGTCTTGGGCGCAGGATATGATGCTGGCAGCGAAGACGTCGGCACCTTCGTCGAAGCAGTGGAACTCGTAACCCTGTAACTTCTTGATGATGTTTACTTGATCCCAGAATGCTGAGATGGGTTGGCAGCCCAAGATAGGTGCCAAGGTCAAGGCAATGGTGTAGGCGATGATGAAGCCGATAGTGGCCCAAGTCACCCATACGAATGTCTTCGACACGGCGCGGGCCGAGAGGCGTCGGTAGAAGAGAAGAATGGAGACTTTGACGAGGCCAGTTGCAACACAGAAGACACATTCGGTTGCGAGAACGTATTTCCGTGCGTTAACGATGATTTCCGGTTCGAAGAGGTAGTTTAGGTCCCAAATATGTCGGTCGAACGCTTGGTTGGTTGCTGGAACGCGTTAGCTAGATAGAAGTGAACTGGTCTGAGATATTACCTAGGGGATATATGACTGTCAAGGCGATCACCGGGGCCTGAGGTCGTTAGCGTAGCCGTGATGGGTGATCATGAGCAACTTACAAGGGCAGCCAGCATCAACCAGTCATCCCAACCGGGACATCTTTGATGAAAGATTCTGACCCATAACCGTACAAGAGTCATAACGACGGTAATAGGTCCAAGTACACACGCAATCCACAGGACCGCGTTTGGTCGAAGTGTAGGGTTGACATAGTTTGGTGTTGGCCAACTCAGTTTGACCTCGATGGGAGGGTTTATGCCACCAGGCATGGTGAAGATGATTCGTAAGGTTGTGTGGTGCGTGGAACGTTGTCAAAGTTTGAGATAATTGAACAACGGCTTTTCGAGTGAAGGGATGCCTACCATTTGTGCATGGTGGCTTTTTGAAGTACCAAACCTGTTAAATGGGAGAGGAGCATGGGGGCGTAAGACATCCGCCAGGGCTTGACAAAAGTGGGCCGACCACAAAAAACAATGCCAATGGTCGACCAATACAGCGTTTGGGAACGACGACCGTTGAGGTGCGCATAACGGCAGTCGAGAGCTTGCCCGGCTATGTACCCACCCGCATATACGAGCATCGACGCGGAAATGGGATACACTCCGTAGACGATGAACCGCGTGGTCGTTGTTAGTCTGAGATACTGATCGGTGAGAAATAATGATACCTCTTGTGGTACTGTTCAACACGACTTCGAGTCCCAGCATTAATGTGCCCATTATGCGTCAGTGATCTCTATTGGGAGTATAGAGCGGACTTGCTGCAGTGAGTAGCAGTTGCTGTTCACGCTTTGCCACACTCCTGTTTTGAAACCTGGACAGGCCTTTCACGTCGAATTACGTTGCATGCGCGTATACTCATGATCCTGGGATGATCAAGGGACGTTGACAGAATTCTAGTGGCCGGTAGTGGACCCGAGAACTCTACCCTGCTTGACCACGACAACGTATTGGAGTTTGACGAAACGCGAGTCCGACCTTGAGTTTCCTCGCGTACGGATTGTCAAACATGCGTAACCGACAGGGCTCGAGCCAATCTGCAGCGGTCGGGCGCTCCCGCCACGGTGGTCCCTGTCAAGAATCTGTCCGGAGTGGCGCCTTTTCGATCGATACTATCTGCATCGTACGTGATCGTGTCGGCTATCGAGCTCAATTATCCCGCAGCCGTGAACGGTGTATGATGAAGTGGTGTCGAGGACCCGTTTGTGACAAGTGGGCATACGGTGGCAAGTGTATGCAGTCACCTCCGAATTGGGAACACTAGAAGGATCAGCGGCTTCGCAGCATCTGTAACAATGCGAAATGGATAGGTCCGAGAATTAGTCGCGGAGATGACAGGAGACGCAGTATGCCGTCATCCCCCATGCGCCATGATTCGGCCACGTCCACAATGCATGCATGGTGTGTCCTAAGATTGAACGTAAGGTAAGAGAATTTGAAGCAAAAAAGTAAAGACGCATAGGTCTGGAGCTGTCAGGTACCGGTCAGAGTGTGCGTTCGTACCCCCGGCTTGTGTGCATCAAACCTTGGCGTGGTGTGGTGGGGTGCGGGACCGGAAGGTGGGGGCGCGTGGAATCTGGAGCGAAAGCGGACGCGAGAAACGCAACAGCGGCATGCCTACCTATGTAGGATAGAGCGCTGCAATGAAGTCGCAGTGATAGTCGAGAGATACCTGTTTCCGCGGCTACAGCGTAGGCGTTCAGCGCGAAGGGCGTTGAAGAGAGGGGTTACGCCCGTAGGACGCAAAAATAGTCGCGGAATCAGGATGGCAGCTTCGCCCTAGTACCCAAACAGCAACGCGCTCTGTGAGCATCTAAGCGACTGAAGCTTCACGATAGTTGTTGCATCGTCCTAAATCCTACAGCGCCCTTTTGTTGTCTCCGCGGGCACTTGCGATGCAATTGTGAGTCACCCAGAAGGATGCATGATAAGCATAGTTTGACTTCATCAAGATATAAAGGTCTGGTATCGAAGATGATGTAGTTAGACACCCAAAGCACTGCGTACCTTCCAAGTTTACAAGATGACAGCCTCTGCCTCGTTCAATGACGCTTTTCAGTCGGCAGTTGCATCCGGCCCTGAGCGCCTGCTGCCCGGTGTGGCTCTCGGTGCTGCAAGAGCACTTCGAAAGGGTATGGTCTGGTTTTGCATGTTTTCTTTTGCCAAAACACTTGCCAGGGCAGTTGAGTTTAGCGTGCGTTTGAGAGCGGCACGTTGAGATGGACTGGGAATATGCGACGGAGCCGTCGGATGCTCGCAGCCGTTCGCACGGTCGGCGACCTCGCTTGTCATTTGTGTTTCTGTTACATGGCCTACAGTTCGCGGCTAACGTGATTCACAGCTGCTACTTCGGAACCAGATGACTTTCTTGCTGCATTTGGCACACTGCAGCTTGACTCCACGTCGCCACCAGTATCGACGAAGACGACCGTATGGCTGGCATCTTGCACGAAGCTAGCGACGGCTATCGCAGCCTTGCAGTGCGTCGAGCGTGGGCTGTTTTCGCTCGACGAACCCACTGACACCGATCGTTTACTGCCTGAATGGAAGAATTCTGTTGTCCTGACTGGCTGGAACGCTGATGAACCTATCTTACAACCTGCAAAAGAAAGGTTGACATTGCGAAGATTGCTGACGCATACGAGCGGAGTCGGCTACGACTTTCTCGCGGCTGACCTCGTGAAGTGGAGGCAGCATCGCAACGAAGAAAGTCTCTTCATGCGCACACCTATTACGCAGTGCTTTGCGACACCTCTCATCTTTGAGCCCGGCTCCGGCTTCGCATATGGTGGCGGGCTGGAGCTTGTGGGCTTGATGATCGCGAGGGCCAACAACTGCACGCTGGAAGCATACATGCGCCAATACATCTTTGATGTGTTGGGGATGGATAAGACTTCCTTCTACGTCAAGCACAACAATATCGAGCAGGAGTTGATGCCGATGACCACCCGTCTTGCACCTGATGCAGCTCTCATACCTGGCAACCCACCAGATATGCCACTGGCACAGCCGCTGGATCCTCAAGATGAGTTCGGTGGCGGAGGTTTGTTCGGCAATACCGAAGACTACCTCGCACTTCTAAAGTCGCTTCTCCGGAACGATGGCAAGCTTCTCAAGTCGGAAAGTATCGAGCTCTTGTTTGCTCCATGTATACCACCCGCGGCGCAGGAGTCGCTCGATCAGACGCTGTCCGTCCCAGCCTACGCTGCCATCATGATTCCAGGCGATGCTCCGTTTGGCACTCCTGGTGCGCGAAAATGGTCTCATGCTTTGGGCGGTCTAGTAGCACTCGAAGATGATGCCGAAGGAGGCTTGAAGGCTGGCACCTTGCGATGGGGAGGTGCACCGAATCTGAAGTGGTGGATCGATCGCAAGGGCGGTACTTGCGGCATCTTCGCAACGCAGCTTTTGCCCGCTGGCGAAACCCGACACGCGTACCTGGGCAAGATGTTTGAGAGAGCGGTAGCTGCGATGTAGATGGCAGATTTGCTATGAGTGCTACTACGGGTCAGGCATATGAATGGGCATCAATGGCAATGGCATCTTCCCCTATTGCGACGATTTCTCTATTGAGGACCACGAGGTGCCCCACTTGCATGAGGCGCTACGTATGCACGGTGATGGCAATGGCCTGCGCCGCTGATTACCCAGCAGATTCTGCCCATGACGTAGGCGAACTTCTATTTCCGCCGGCAAACCTCTTCTCTGCGCTCAACTGCCCTGCCCAATCACGATGCATGACCGCTCTGACCGCCTTGGCTCAGTCGGCTAGCGGTGGCTTACTCACCCTCTGTCCGCCGGATATGGGCGTTGGTGTCGGCAATATTCTCGCCATGTCGCATGGGACAGACGCGGGAGATGTGCAGGCGAGCAAATCTTTCGGTCATGACAGCCACGCGCGCCAGATACTTAGGGCGACGGGCTGCTGTCAAGCGATTGAACGATTGAAGCTTGTTCATCGCCATTGACAGCACCCGCGTCCATCTCCCGAAAACACGGTCACGACTAGTCGTACCGTCGCGCGTTAGATCCACACGATCCACAACGGCCTCGTCGTCGGGCTGAACATTTACTATTATTGTTCCGACAGCCGAGCGCTGGCAATTTCTATCGCTTTCCAGCGCGACAGCACCTCTCGACACCTTGGTCGAAGAAAGAGCAGATTGCGATCAAGATGCAGAACGAAGACCTGGATATCCTGCGCAATGAGGCGAACGCAAGCCCTGAGCGCTTCGCAAATTGGGACCCGCACCGCCAGTTTCGCGAAGAGTACCACAGACGGCACTTGCATGACCAGACACCTGATGAGCGCCTGCGCAACATCGAAGCACACGAGCGAGGAGAGCGCACCCAGAGCGAGATATCCTTCCCAACAGAAGCAGTAGCATCACCCATCAGAGAAAAGGAAGAGGAGGTCGCCTCACCTCTTTCGCGGCACAGCACATCTTCGGCTTCGACTGTTAGCTCTGCAAGCTCTGCATCCACACATAGCGCACGTCTCGAAGAAATACGCACCGCCCGCTCAACCCCCGCACGCGACCGCCGACCGACCGTCAATTCGCAGGCCTCGAGCGGCAACTACCTGACACTACATCCCACTGAACGCAACCCCGAAGCTATCCGCCGAATCGAGACACACAGAAGTCAGCATGCAGGCACAGTCGGTGCATCGCGCGTCGATTCGCGGTTATCGAGGACCCTCACACGCCGTCGTACAGAGAAGCCATTGCCGAACCTAGGAGCTGGCAAGCCTTTCCCCCCGCTGCTACCGGACAGGGAAGAATATGTAGTCGAGTTCGACGGCGTCGACGATCCGCTGCATGCGCAGAACTGGCCGATGAAGAAGAAGATTGGCATTGGTGCTATCCTAGCATTCGACGCCCTCACAGCCACCATGGGTAGCAGTATCTTCTCGGCCGCTACAGGAGCAGTATCGCAACAATACGGTGTTGCCAATGTTGTGGGCACTCTAGGAACGAGTTTGTTCGTTTTTGGATATGCCTTTGGACCTTTGGTAAGTGAACGCTGACCATAGACTGCGGTCAGATATGCTAACAACTTCTAGATGTGGGCACCTTTCTCGGAGCTGTATGGCCGAAAACCTCCCCTCATCATCGCCGCCTTTGGTTTTGCCATCTTCAGCATCGCCGTCGCCGCAGCCAAAGATATCCAGACCATCATGATATGTCGATTCTTCGCCGGTCTCTTCGGCTCCTCTCCTCTCGCTATCGTCGCCGCCGTCTTCGCTGATATGTTCGACAACAAACTCCGCGGTCTCGCCGTCGCAGTCTTCTCCGCAACCGTCTTCATGGGCCCTCTACTCGCACCCTTCATCGGAGGATTCATCACCCAGAGCGATCTTGGATGGCGGTGGACCGAATACATCAGCAGTTTTATGGGCTTTTTGTCATTCGCTCTGCTCTTCTTCTTCATGGAAGAAACATACCCGCCTGTCGTGCTGATCAACAAGGCGAGCGAGCTGAGGAGACGAACCAAGAACTGGGGTATCCACGCCAAGCAGGAGGAAATTGAAGTCGACTTCAAGGAGCTGATCGTTAAGAACGTCAGCCGACCGATGCGCATTCTCTTCACCGAGCCTATTGTACTGCTCATCACCATCTACATGAGCTTTATATGTAAGTTGGATCACCCCGTCTTGTTACAAGAACTGAGCTAACAATTCTAGATGGTTTACTCTACCTCTTCCTTACCGCATACGCCCTCGTCTTCCAAGGCGTCTACGGCTGGAGTCCCGGCATCGGCGGACTTGCCTACTTCGGCATGGTCGCTGGTGAAGTGATCGCTTTCATCATCATTGTCGTCGACAACCCACGATACATCAAAAAGCTGGAAGCCAACAACAACATTCCCGTCCCAGAATGGCGCCTACCCATCAGCATGGTCGGTGGTGTGCTCTTCGCAGCCGGTCTCTTCTGGTTCGGATGGACAGGCTACACCGGCAATGTTCACTGGATCGTCCCTGTCCTGAGCGGTCTCTTCACCGGCTTCGGAATCTTTTCCATCTTCCTCTCGCTTCTCAACTACATTGTCGACGCGTACCTTATGTTTGCTGCTTCCGCTATTGCAGCAAACACCTTTATGCGGTCCATGTTTGGTGGAGTCTTCCCACTATTCGCAACCTTCATGTTCAATGGTATGGGAATCCAATGGGCCAGTACACTGCTTGGCTGCGTGGCGCTCGTACTTGTACCGATGCCAGTGGTCTTCTATGTATTTGGTAAGAGAATCCGAGGCAAGAGTAACTTTGCACCTGCGCCAGATATCGCTCAAGACAAGAGGAGAGATGAAGAGAGCAAGGGAAGCGAAGGTGTTGAAGCGGGAAGTGGTGAGACGACCGAGCGGGAGAGCCTGGACAGGGCGAGGAGTAAAGATGAGTAGAGTTCTCATCGTGTTTCCAATTTCTTTTCATCTGGGCTTAGCGAGCACATATACCTTTTAATTTCAACCTTTCACCCTAATCAAATGTTTGAAGAGCTAGAACAATGTCCATGATTAGGAATACACGACGCAGGCAACGGGTATAGCTTTCCTGCATTCAATGAATAACAGACATGGTATCAATTCCTTTCCTCTATCCACTACACATCTATGGCAGTACATACCCACCGTCAATAATACAATCGCTTCCTGTCATATAACTCGACGCATCACTACCCAAGTACAAAAACAACCCCTTAATCTCCTTAACGTTACCCTGCCTCCCCAGCGGAATCATCCTCAACCCCTCATTAATAACCTGCGGCCCAGCCCCCATCTTGGTATCAAAGAACCCCGGGCTAACAATGTTGACCCTCGCAAACTCCCTCCACTCCCTCGCCAGCGACTTGCCCAAATGCGAGATAAACGCTTTTGTACCGTTGTAGATGGGTTGGTCGATGGGTACATTGACAATGTGCGCGGAGATGGAGCTGGTGAGGATCAAGTTGCCAAATCCTTGTTTCTTGAATACCTCGCCGGCGTACTTGGCGCAGAAAACGGGGCCGTCGACGTTGACTTTCATGAGGTTGTGGTAGCTGTCGAGGGTTTGGTCGAGGAGCGGCTTGCTATCTCCTGTGCCGGCGTTTGCGACGAAGACGTCGATGCGGCCAAAGTCCTCAACCACTTGCTGGACGGCTTTTTGGACTGCCTCGGCGCTGGTCTGGTTCACGCTGTAGGCTTTTGTCTTGACGTTGTGTGTCTTTGCGAGGTTCTCCGCGCGGGTTATGGCGGCGCTGTTGGAGTTGTACCACAGGGCTACGTTGCCGCCTGCTTCGGCCATGGCGTCGGCTACGGCTCCACCGATTCCTTCGGCGGCGCCGTTGACGACGATGACTTTGCCTTTCATGCTGAATTGTTGCATGACGTTTGTGGGTGTGTCGGGTACAGGTTTGGGGAAGCCGGCGCGTGGCGCCTGGCATTCTTCGACGGACATGGACATTTTGGCGGTTTCTTCGGGGGAAAGATATGCTGTAGAAGCTTATGGGATTGGTATGACTTGAAGTAAAGATAGCGAAGTCAGTAGTCTGTAATATACTAAGAAGTCGGAGTCGGAGGCCGACACTTATGTATCTAGACGCGTGAGATTGGGCGGAGGAAGGTCTGCCGAGTGAGGCTCAAAGGCCGCGACTCTGACGGTGCAGCTTTTACCCCGCCGAGCAAAACATGGGATGGCATTGCGTCACGGGGTGGTGTTGCGGGGCAAATCTGGAGGACTGTCGTCCGGATGGGGCGGGATGGTTCCTGAATTGGGATGGTGCCCGTTGCGCTCGGCTTACCTTCCTTCTGAGCGCGCGGCGCGTACCGTGTCTTCTACCGACTGCGTTGTTCTTTTGTGACTTTCTTCCACGATACTTTGCTGGGTGTTGAGTGCGCTCTGGCTCGGTTGAAATCTCGGAGGTGCCTTTATGTGCAGAAGATCAGTCAGGCAAATATGAGTTCATTGCCTCTCGTCAGCTCTTTCCCTGGGTGTTGTCACACGGCAGCCATGGCACGTCCTTTGCGGCAGCCGGATTTCAGTCTTCGCACGGCAGTCTGCTTCTGTACGATGTGAACTGTCACTGTTGCGCATCGTACTAGACACGATCATCTGGAATATGAGGACGGCAACAACATTGACGTAGCGAAACCACTTCTACGCCTCAAATACGACAATCAGGTATAACGGTCTACTCCGCCCGGGGCCTGACCATACTCTTCGGTGACTCTCTTCAGTCAAACTCCGTCAGGATGAGGTGGCAGAGGAAGAGGGAGCTGTAGTCAAGGCAGTCCCGTTCATCGTGCCTCTTGGCCAGTCACTATGGTCCTCTCAAGTAGTCGACACAGGTTGTGCGTAGAAAACAGCTTTTACCTTTCTGCGAGCCATCATGGAAACCGTACCCAGTTGTGCTTTCTTTCACTCCTCAGAAGCACAATGAGCCCTCTGGGCTTAGTGTGCACGGTCTGTCGCTAGATTGGTCCTGCCTGCATTCTCACAACAATCTTGCTCCCTCAATTACACTGTGGACACGCAAATCTACATCGAGCTTGAACGCATCTTTCACACTGAATGAAGTTCTTTTCACTGTGCTGTGCGCTTTCGCTACTACACTCTCGCAACTACACTCTTTGTTAGCCCTTTCTCCCTTAGCCTTTTAGCTACTATGGTCTAACACATAACTTAATTTAATGTAAACCTCTACTGCGTCCTAGCTACGTAACTTACAATCGCTACTCTTACACGCTTCCTGTCCCGTTTGCAGCTGCTACAATCGCGCTCACCTCACTCTTCTTGAACACACCAGAACCATCCGTCAACGCAAGGGTTCGCAAGAATGGTCTTCAGGTTTCTGGATCTCCCATCAGGTACGTAATCTCAGTCTTTCACTCTATTCACTTGACTTGCACATCGGACGGCGCTGACCTCATGCAGAGCTGCGCAACCGTGTCTACGAGATCGCTGCAGCAGCCGGTGACGAGCCGCTGGTTATTACCCGGCGGCCTCACAGAGAAGACGGCAACTATGCGGGTCTTACGAGAACTTGCGTTCAGATTCGGGCTGAATATCGACCAATGCAGCGTCGCAGCGCCAAACTTTCCGTGTGCTTTTCAGACCTTGAAGACTTTACTCAAACCTTTCTCACTTCAGCCGCGGACACAATGATCCTCCCTCTTGAGGTTCACGTCCGGGTATCTCGTCTCACCAGGCCAGGATACCCTCTTAGTTTCGACTCACTTCCAATTCTTGAAGTCAAAGTTGCGAACCCCTGCTTGGACATCAGGATCTTGCCGGTTAATATCCCAAATTGGTCCCGATTCATGCGGAATGGCCCGCAGGATGCGGCTGCTCTCGCAACTATGGCTTTGACGCAAACACAGGGCCTGAACTCGCTGCTCCTTCACTCGAACAAGAACTGGCATGCGTGTATCAGCAACGGCTCCATTGGCGAAGTCTACATAGAGATGGAAACCGGGTTTACACGGGTTGAGATCGTCTTCATGGGTAGGCTTGGTTACAGGGAGTTGTCTAAAATACAGAGAGACGACGAGGATTGGCGTATCTCTCACGGCCTGCAGGCTCCGACATCGCATGTTCATCGCTTCGACTTCACCTTTCTTCATCAGAAATAGTACTGGAGCTTCCATTGAAGGTTACTTCCCAGACGTAAATGGTACGCAGAGAGGTACCGAATGCAATCATCTATCACTCACTACGTAATAAGTAAGCTGTCAGTGACTCACCGCCCTCTGTAGGTCATAGCGCTACTGCCTGGGCTCACGTGCGGGTACACTAGTTCCTTCCCTCGCTTACACGAGTCACTACCTTCGCTATCAAACTCTCGATAAGCCACCACGTTTCCATCATTGTATCAGTCAAATACTACTGTCGTGCAACTTACCCATTCGCTTGGAAAGCACCACAGTCACCATGGCATTTCGCTTCCTCGACCTCAACCCAGGTATGCCACTTCCCTCATCCGTATCGCGCGAGAGGAGCTACTGAGATTTTTCAGAATTGCGCAATATGGTGTACTACTTCGCAGCAATCACCGACGCACACGTTCCAATCCGACACGATTCCTCTCTTCAGTCTGGCACCTACGCGGGTCTCACCAGAGTTTGTGTCCAGATCCGCCGAGAATATCGCCCGGTCCAACGTCGCATGGCTGAGGTTCGGTTGGACCTTGCAAATGTTGGCTATTATGCTCAGGCATTCATGACGACAGCCGAAGACTCCGTGTCCCTCCCCCACAAAATACGCGTCGAAGGAAAATTCGCGAATTTCTCAGCTTTCGGCTCTCACTTCAGCATCTTCTCGGTCCTCAAGCTCAAGGCTACCCACCCTGGCCTGGACTGCGAGATAGTTCCCGCCACCACTGGCTGGGGCTATGATACTGCAAAGCACGGCATGTGCCTCCGGACTTTGAACGAAATTCGTGGTCTCAACGCACTTGCTTGCCATGCGAACGAAAAGTGGCGTGAGGATATTAGCAACGGGACTATTGGAGATGTCCGGATCAGATCAAGCGCATCATTCGTTGAGACTACATGTCTTTGTATCAACTTCACGGGTGCCCACGCCCCCAAGAACTACGATAGAGCGATCAGCGCGCCTGATGCGTGGAGTAGCGCTCGCGGTCTTGACGTTGCGCTATCACACGGTCATCGTGTTGCGTTGTACTTCTCTCCCATGTTCACTTGAGCGAGGTTGAGGAACCAGTCGAATCAAGTCGTCAAGCGTATCGCCTGTTAAGCATGCGTCACCGAGTATGTATTGTAAGAAGAATTGAATGAAAAGTCGATCGAATCACCTAGTTGCCTGACCAGTCTATGTTGCAGAGGATTTCGTTTATTTCGCAGAGGCTATGAGCAGGTCGGCGCTCACTGTACGCCGGCTCGGAGCCTGGTAGAGCTCGCGTAGTCAGTCATCTTTCGTGAGCGCTCCTACAGGCTCACTTGCCACATTGCGGTGCGCAAGCTCTTGTGCTAACGACACATTTTAGTCGAGGAAAACGAATTGACTGGGTGTAATGTAGATTTTGGACGTTATGATTCGCTAGTCTGCTCTGCACCGCAGTACCATAGGACGAAGTGGATGAACCAAGTTTTCGCATCGCACTTAGATGTGAGTCAGGAGCAAAGAAAGTACAACATGCCGCACCGCCCACGTAGCGATACCTCTGCATATCGATCTCGATCCGCGAACACGCTCACTTTATAGCCACCATTAAAGAGACTTGTAATCGACGTCTCAACTTACAGCACAGTCACGATGACTTTCCGCTTCCTCGATCTTATACCGGGTACGAGATTCTCTCCGCCCCCTTTGCAAGACGTGAAACTGACGATAGACAGAACTGCGCAATCGGGTCTACCACTTTGCTTCCTTGTCTGAAGAACAAATCATCTCAAGCATGAGATACCAGCCTGATCCCTCTCTCTCGGGCATCGGTGTCGGGCTCACGAAAGTTTGCCGGCAGATTAGAGCTGAATACCTGCCCATTCAGCGTCGTGAAGCGGTAGTCGCGTTCCATTGGGACAACATCGAATACATGCAGGAATGGTTCGATGAATTCTACCCAGCCGGGCCCGATTCGAGCGGCGGTCCTCGCGTCGTGCGGCTTTTATGGGGCAAGCCACATGATACCTCACAGAATGTTTCAAGACATGATCCCGCCACAGGCTTGGCTATGATTGACGATATGGAGGAACTACTAAGAATCCGCGCGCATTGGACATCGGTTCGCTTCGAAGTTGCTCTGGAAGACTCATACCGTACACCCGATGAGTCCGATCCTAACCTTAGCGGCCTGGCAGAGAGAGATTGCCACAAACTTTGTCTTCTTCTTCATTATGACAATCCCACCTGGCTCACCGCTTTACGGAAAAACGTATTTGACAGCATTATCATCGATTATAATTCTCGGCATGCGCCCCCAGCTGTATATCTAGAGGTTGGACGACACGGAATATATTCGCGACACTACTCCATGCAGGAAGTTGAGGACAATATTGAACGAGCCTTGAGGGCCAATTGCGGCATGCGAGTGATAGGGTGGGACTCTTCGATAGGCATGCCGTAAAGAGGCTACTGTCAATGAGCGCGGTTTAACAGTGGACGGAGGGGGGAGCGATTTTAAGCAATGTAATCATGATCGAAAATTACATCATGGGGGAGCATAATTCATGTCGTACTGTACACGGATGTCTTTGGGAGTTAGGGTATGGCTGTGTTAAAAGTCCAAAACAATTCAAACGAAGTTTACTCGTTAATAGATGATACTGTGAGTGCAACAATGCGACAGCTCCCTAGGTATTCTGGATGCCCAAATAACGATCGCGGGGATGATGACGTCATGGCCCAGACAGGTCTCAGGGTCCGCTCTTTCTACCACGACCTTCGGGTCTTTCCTCATTGAATGCGTCTCCTGTTGTGAAATCTGATCTCCTTTCAGAGAGATCAGGCTGTAGTTTCGATTTCTGCCAGGCTCTACCGCTCCCGCTACCGTCTTGCATATAAGAGGGCGCTTGCCTGTACTCAAGTTTGCTCCCACCACAGCCACCACAGCGTCGTTCGGTACTCAATACCCTCATCTATTACCACTTATTGCGTTGTTACCGTGCCTTGCATCGCACCCACCCCAGCAGCTACTTGTTTGCAGAAGGTACTTTCTACCTACTTCAGGCTCCCACCTCACCTGCCTCTATCATAACACCACTACGATAAGGAAAAGCGATCACGCTGAAGCAAAGTCACAAACCAGTTCGACACAATAGCACGTTTCAATACCCTACAATGGCACGTTCTTGTTCTTGGTCACGAGCCCGATACCGGAGCTAAAAGTTGCAGGGAATTGCTCTCTGCACAATTGCAACCACCTACAAACGCAACTCACCTTCGGGTTCAGGGTCTAAGCCTGGGTGCTCTCGATTGATGACCTGTCGTCGTGACTGCAACTGGCACTGCAATGCTGCCTTCCCTCGTAGGTACAATAGGAAAGGCCTACCCACAACCACGCGATTGAATCACGCGCTCCTTCCACGTTGCTGGATTATTGGTACGATGACATCGTATTCAACATCACTGCTTCCAGACTCCATCATACCAACACGAAATACGATTATGACAATGGCATGCCAAGCATCCCCGCTCTCTTACCTGAGGCCTGGTCTCAAGGTGACTTCCGATTCAGGCAATTTCCTCAGTCACCGTCAGAGACGCTGGTGGCGATTATCGTTGGCGTTTCCTCGCTCACCTTTACCTCGCAAGAGATATAAGAATCTCCATGGTCTACGCTCCATTACTTCTACATCCCGCAATTATCTTGAATATCTGATTATCACTATTTCCCACGCTATCAGCACCTTATCTCGAACCCAGCAACAAGCCGGAAGTACAAGACCTCATGGCGTAAGTCCCCTTTCCTCACACGTAGAGCTCATGACTTCCCCACAAAGCTCCCCATATCAATTGATTAGTTTGATGGACTCTGCTAACTCAGACAGCCCTACTCGCCCGAGCACCCCACCTCCTTCCCGTTCTTCTCCCAGGAAGTTTGGTCATCCGCCAGTCGTTCCTGCCCCTTCTACACCAACTTCACGCCGAAATGGCTTCAAGGGCGGTTTCAACGTCATCATGGGCTCGGAGCATGCGACTGTGCCGCCCTCCCCTGGACTGCCTGTACCTGGCTTCGCGGCACTCACCATGAGTCCTGTCCCTGCCCAGGCCCTGCCCATCCGCCAGAGCAAGCGCAAGCGTGGAGGCCACGCGCGCACTGATGCCGGTGTCAAGAAGAAGACCAAGAAAAAGCCAGATGGCACCATGGCTAAGTTGGTCGATGTTGCTCTCAAAGAGAAGGTCGGCACCAGCGACCCCGCTCTGCAGAAGCCGTTCCGCTTCATGGACCTCCCCGGAGGTAAGTCACGCGATTCTGATTCTTTTGACACAAGCTGACTGTTGATAGAACTTAGGAACCAGATATACATGCACACCCATGGACGTCCCAAGCAGGCCCTCCTCGTTTACCGCCCGCGCCTCGCCTCTCTCCGTCCCCGCACTCGTCTCGATCGCGGCCGTACTTTGGCGTCTGACATCGTCGACCAGGACCAGGAAAAGAAGATCTCGGGCGGCAACAACAAGTCTCGTCTTTCGACTAAGCCCAAGCCCAAGACAGAGCCTCGAGAGACTAACCGTCCCTTCTGGGGCCTTACCCAGGTATGCCGTCAACTCAGGGCTGAGTACCGTCCCATCTACATGGCCAAGCAGGAGATCGGCATGGACCTCACCGAGATCGTGGACTACCTCAAGACTTTCTATCCGACCGCCACGGACGTCGTCTCCAACCTCGGTCCTCCAGGAGAGCGCAGCGAGGACGCGCCTTTTGTCGGCAACCTGACCATCGCGGTTGGAGACAAGCCCAACGAGCTGGAGCGTGCTGGTGATGGCATCGAGGTCTTTACTCTTCTTGACATCTGGGCCAACAGCCTCAAGATTGAAGCTGGGTTCGGTCGCTACCTCAAGGCCAACTACGTCGCCGAGACTGATGGTGAAGCCAAGGACCTGTGAGTTCCCCTGCCTCTTTCCTCAAATGATCTATTCACTGACCATCTTACAGCTACCGCCTGTTCGG